GTCTCGAACCTGCGGGCTCAGGCAGTCCACTCACCTCAGCCTCCCAAGGCGCGGGATTACAGGCTGAGCTACTGAGCCCGGCTTAATTTTTTAATTTTAAAGGTGTGGGGTACAATTCAGGGTTAGGTATTCAAATATTCATTATGCAGATGAGGTGTGCCCCCTCCCCCAGAAGATTCCCACCACTGCCAACCCTTTTCTCGTAGTATTATGACATTTGCTCAAGGTCCACTGATGAGTGAGAACCTGTGATCCTCGATTCTTTGCTTCTGTGAGAGATCTCTTCGTCTTAGGGACGCTGAGTCCACGCAGGTGCTGTGCAGTTCATGCTTTTGGATCCTCTTTTCGCTCCCGCCCCCTCTTGTCCATCGCTGGCCCTGCTGGCATCTTCACACGTCCCCCCGCTTCCCGCCCCTCTTACTGCCTGGCAGGTTCAAGCTGCTGCCGTCCCTCACTCAGAGACCCTGGGTGCCTTCCCCGCGGCCCCTCCTCCCGTGCCAGCCCCCTGCAGTCTCGCCTCAGCGCAGCAGCCAGGCGGTCCCACCAGCTCGCTGGCGTGAGGCTCCCCGTCCCACCTCGCACTGAGGTCAAGTCTCACTGGGTCAAGGCCCTCAGCGTCTGCCAGGCCGCGTGCGCTGTCCCCTCCACATGCCTGTCAGCATGCACTGTTCCCCGCCCGCTGTGGCCGCCTGCTGTTCTTGGGACACCTGTGTCTCCTGGAGTCTTGCTCACGTGTCACTGCCTCTATGAGGCCTTCCCAGATTCCCTCAGTTAAAATAGTGCTCCCTTCTCCAATCCCCAGCACAGTCCCGATCACCTTTCCTGATTTTGTCTTTTTTTTTGGGGTGGGGGTCAGAATCTCACTGTCGCCCAGACTGGAGTGCAGTAGCACACTCATGACCACTGCGGCCTCGACCTGCTGGGCTCAGGTGATCCTTCCTCCTTAGCCTTCCAAGTAGCTGGGACTACAGGCACGTGCCACCACGCCTGGCTAATTTTTAAAAAAAATTTAATTTATTGTAGAGGTGAGGTCTCGCCAAGTTGCCCAGGCTAGTCTTGAACCCCTGGGCTCAGGCAGTGCTCTTGTGTCTGCCTCCAAAAATGCTGGGATTATAGGTGTGACCCACTGCACCCAGCTTATTTTTCTTGATAACACTGGCCACCTTTGAATCTAGCATATAATTAATTTTATTATCTCTGTCCGTTTCCCCTCCCCCACCACATTGTCAGCTCCAGGAAGTCAGGACTTGCTCTGGGCCTGCGGTGGGTGCTCGGGAAGCCCTGCGGTGCCCCTGGCCTGCGGGGCCTCACCGGTCACCAGGCCTGGGTGGCACTTGGTGGTGGCCCTGGCTGGGTTCTTGGTCCTCTGCTTGCAGCCCTCCAAAGGCGCCAGGTCTGGGGCCAGCTCCTGCTGACCAGGACGGGCATGTGACATGGAACACCGGCAGAGGGCGGCTTGTTTTCGGGGTAAACCTTTTTCAGGCCTGCAGCCTGCCCCCTGGCCTGGAGCCTCCCTCTCACGATGGAAGCGCTCGGGTCCACGTAGACCCCAGGATGGCCCTTGTTTGGGCTTTTGTTTTAAAGTGTGTGGTGTGACTTTTCAGTCGTATTCCCAGGAGAGGGGAGAATGGTCTAGTAAGCCCCTGTTGCTGTCAGCCAGCTCCAGTGATCACCAGCTCGTGCCTGGCCAGTCTTGTCCTCTGGATCCACACGCCCCCTCCCCCTCCCGCCCTGGGTTACCTCGAGTGTCAGCCAGCAGCACGGAAGCCAGTGTCTTCGGAAGATTCTTGTAGGAGCAGCCAGACCAGGCTGTTGGGAGAGGAGGGCTGGAGACGCCCAGAGCTGCGGTGCCTGACGTCTGCCAGACTGTCAGTGCTGGTGACTCCTGGGTAGAGTTCCGGTGGGTGGGGCTGTGGGCGCCCCCTTCTTACACAGCTGAGGCCTTTGGGGATGTGGGAGCTGAAGGGTTCTTCCTCAGATGGCCTGCAGGGGGCAGCAGAGCTGGAGCCTGGCTCCGATGCTGGGCCCTTGCCACCTTCAGGGGCCGGTCCTCGGCCTCAGGGGCTGCCCTGTGGCCCCGCCCCTGCCCCCCCCCAGGGGCCCCTCTTCAGCAAGGCCTGTCCTCACATCCACTCTGTCTGCTGACCGGGATCCACACGCTGTCTCTGAGTCTCAGCCTCTTTGTCTCCAAAACGGGGTGATCAGTGAGTGCCCAGGCTGGCTGGACGGGGCCTTTTGCGAGTCTCTTCGGGCACAGTTGCTGACTGCGTGTCAGGGTCGGTCCTTCATTGTGGCCGATTGTCTGTCTGTGGCCTGTGTGTGGGTTTCCGGCAGAGCGCCTGGCACTGCCTGTCCGCAGGAGGACTGGGCTCCTCGGCCGGCCACGGGGCGTCGTGCTGCTCCTTCTCGGGCTTCTTTTTTTTTTTTTGAGCTGGGAGTCTCACTCTGACGCCCAGGCCGCAGCGCAGTGGCACGCTCATGGCTACTGCATCCTCAGCCTGCTGGGCTTAGATGACCCTTACGCCTCAGCCTCCCAAATAGCTGGAACCACGGGTATTACCACCGTACCTGGCTAATAAATTTTTAGTTTATTGTAGAGATATGGTCTCACCAAGTTGCCCAGGTAGGTCTCAAACCACTGGGCTCAGACAGTCCTCGCCTCTGCCTCCCAAAGTGCTGGGATAGCAGGTGTGAGCCCCTGTGCCCTGCTCGGGCTTCTGTTTCTGCAGCGCTGCCCAGCCAGCATACCTCCCCTGTGTTGTAAATGCTGTGGTCTGCTTGCCATGGTGACCAGGCAGGATGGAGACAGTCACTCCCCATTTACACACGAGGAAGCGGAGCCACGGAGCAGCAGACCCAGGGCTGAGGCCAGATGACTTTGTTTGCAGAGTCCACACTCTTTCCTCATGCTGTCCTCTGCCAGGTTTCTCACTGCTGAGTCCTGGAGGCACTCCTGCCTCTGGGATACGCCTGCTGGGGGGCCAGAGAGACTGGGAAGAAAGCAGGCCCAGGCTGGGCAGTGACGCGCTCTCCAGGGCCTGGCCAGGTTGCATGGCCGGGGCAGCTTCTTCCTGGGAGGAGCTTGGGCTGCATGGCCTGCGGCTGGCTCCCGGCAGCAGTGATGGTCTGTTCTCATCCTGCAGACAATCATGACATCATCTCCATGAAGCTGTTCCAGCTGATGGTGGAACACACGCCCGATGAGGAAAACATTGATTGGACCAAGATTGAGCCCAGCGTCAATTTCCTCAAGTCACCCAAAGGTGCGTGTGTGTGTGGGTTCTTCCTGCCCAGCTGGGTGAGACTTGTCTGGTCCAGTTGTGGTTGAGGCTGGGCTCCTGGATCAGCCCTGCCCTAGTGAGTGGCACGGGCTGGCCCTGTTCTAGCTCTGAGATGCCGCAAGCTTGGGTCAGGTTGGCTCTGGGGAGTTTCTGAGTAAATGAATGAGGCAGAAGAGGAGACTTCAGTTCAGCCTGGAAGGATGCCCTGGCCATGTGATTCAAGCCGTAGGCGATTAGTAAATGTTGTGAAGCTCCTCCTGTGCCAGATGCTGGGGACAGTAGCTAGCATAGCCAGGGTGCTAGGCATGCTGTCCGACCTGGGGTCCTCTGTGAACTTCCGGAAGGGAGATCCGCTGCTGGCCGAGAGGATGTCCTCAGCTAGAAAGAGGGGGAGGCAGGATTTGCACTTGGGTTCTGCAAAACCCAAAGCCTGGGTCCCTACAGAATCAGTTGTAAATGAACTCCACCTTAGGAGGCCTGGCGCAGTGGGTCAAGCCTGTAATCCCAGCACGTTCGGAGGCCAAGGTAGAGGACTGCCTGAGCCCAGGGGTTCAAGACCATCCTGGACAGCCTCGTCTCTACAATATATCAAAAAATGGGCCAGACGTGGTAGTGCGTACCTGTAGTTCTGGCTACTTGGAAGGCTGAGGCAGAAGATTCGTCTGAGCCTGGCAGGTTGACACTGGGGTAGCCGTGAGCATGGCACTACACTCCAGCCTGGGTGACGGAGTGAGACTGACTCAAAAAAAAAAGAAATCCACCTCAGGAACCACAAATGTGGGCTAAGGGCCTGCTGGGTGATGGCAGCACATGGCATGGACCAGGAGCTTGGGCCATGCCAGCAGGGTGCTGAGGGGCCCAGTCCCAAGTCCCCCTGCCAAGTGTGGGCCTGTGTGGCTGGGTCCTTCTGCTTCTCGGGAGAAGCCAGCGTCCAGTATGTTTTTTTTTTTTTGGGGGGTTGGAATCTCACTTTGTCACCCAGGCTGGAGTAGAGGCATGCTCATGGCCACCCCAGCATCAACTCGCTGGGCTCTGGCGAATCTTCCACCTCAGCCCTCCAAGAAGCCGGAACTACAGGCACATGCTACCATACCCAGCTAGTTTTTTTTTTTTTTTTAATAAGTTTATTTGCTTTATTTATTTATTTTTTGAGTTGGAGTCTCACTCTGTCACCCAGGTTGGAGTACAGTGGCACGCTCACAGCTACCGCAGCCTCGACCTGCTGGGCTCAGGTGATCCTTCCGCCCCATCCTCCAAGTAGCTGGAACTACAGGCGTGCACCATCATGACTAGCTAATTTTTTGATTTATTGTAGAGACAAGGTCTCAAAGTTGCCTAGGCTGGTCTCAAACCCTGTTCTCAGGCAATACTCTCGCCTCCGTCTCCCAAAGTGCTGGGATTACAGGCTTGAGCCACTGTACACGGCTCTAACCAGCTTCTTGCAGCCGAGGGTACCCCAGGCCTGGAATCTTGGGTCTCAGTGGGCTTGCCCCTTTTTCTACCCTGCCCTCCCTGCAGGGCTTGGCTAAAATGGGTCTGGCTGACCTCCCCTCTCACCAGTGAGGCTGTGAAGGGACCAGCCTGCCCAGCACCACGGCCACAGGCCTCCTGCGGGGTGGGGGTGGCCCAGCCTGGGGCGGTCGCCATGGTGGGGGACCATCCTGGGGGCCCGCCGGCAGGCCTCTCCCACATTGCCGCTTCAGCCCCTCCTTTCCTCTCCCCCAGATAACGTGGACGACCCCACGGGGAACTTCCGCAGCGGGCCCCTGACGGGGTGGCGGGTGTTCCTGCTGCTGCTGTGTGCGCTCCTGGGCATCATTGTCTGCGCGGTGGTGGGCGCCGTGGTGTTCCAGAAGCGGCAGGAGCGCAACAAGCGCTTCTACTGAGCGGCTGCAGCCGGGGACCCTGTCCTGGGCCCAGGAGCCAACGTGGACTTTTCTACTGGGACTGTAAAGGACAACAGGGCGACCTTATTTCTCAACCGTGGCAAAGAAATGATTAAAGTATTTTCGTACATTTCGCTTCTTGCCCAGCAGGGACAGGCGGCAGGGCTGGGGCTGAGGCCTAGCACTGGCGACGGCGGCGTGTTCGGTCAGCGTCTCGGAGCGGGGGCTGGGCCGGGCTGGGCCGGCCGGGTCCTGGTCCTGCAGGCAGCTGGCGAACACTGGAGGGCCCCGGCCACGCGATGGGCTCCGAGGACACGGAGCAGCCATGCTGCTCTGTGGTGCGTGCGGCCGCCGACCAGGCCCACGCCGGGAACGCTGGGCCTTCCTGTTCAGCCCGAGCCTCTTCCCGAGGCAGACGCTTGAGCAGGGCGGGAGCAGCGGCGTGGGCGAGTGTGGCTGTTTGCTAAATAAAGTGAGATGACCAACCTCAGCATGGCTGTCCCTCTCTCTTGATCATTCCCAGCTGGCCAGTGCGTTTGGCCTCATCCCCTCGGCCTGCAGTGGAGCCCTGGGAGGCAGAGGCGGGACGACCCCATGCCCCGCTGGGGAGACGTGGTTCCCAGAGGCCAAGGAAACCTCGCGGCAAGTGGCGCTTGAGGCCGGGCCACGTGCCATGTGCTCTGGGTGAGAGGGCCACCTTGCAGAGGGTGTGGCCTCAGGCTCAGGGCTTGGCTGGGGCGGGCGGGTGCGTCGTGGGCACTCCGGAGCTTTGGGTGATATGCAAGGGTGTTGGGTCTGGAGGACAATGGGGTCGTAGTGGCATTCCCCTTGGGGGGCAAAGATGGTGACAGGGCGTGCCACTGCACTCCAGTCTGGGCAACAGAGTGAGACTAGGACTCAACCGGAAAAAAACCTGTACAGCTAACATTATGCTTAGTGGTGAACAACTGAAGCTTCCTCAGGAAGATCGGGGACAACAAGGATATCCAACCTCATGACTTTTATTCAACATAGACTAGGTTGTCCTAGCTAGTGAAATAAGGCAAGAAAAAAAGGAATGTAAAATAAAATGGACATGATTGGCTACATAGAAAATCCTAAGCATCATAAAACTAGAATCAATAAGTGAACTTGGCAAAGATACAGGTTACAAAGGCAGTATACGAAAATCATTTGTATTTTATGTATTAGCTTCTACAGGCAACGAACACTTGGAGATACTTTTAAAGACTACCCTTTATATAAAATAGCACTCAAAAAAATGTAAAATGCTTAGGGAGAAGCTATAAAAATGTATGGAAGATTTATATGCTGGAAACTACAACATATGACTAATCAAGGAAAATCTCAGTACATGAAGTGTAGTGGTCACAGATGAGAAAACCCAATATTGTTAAGACTTCAGTTCGTCATAATCTATAGACTCATGCAACGCTACCTAAGGTTTTCAGCAAGGTTTTATTTATAAAAATTGAAAAGCTGATTCTAAAATGTAAATGAAAAGGCAAAGACCTAGAATTGCCAAAACAATTTTTTTTTTTGAGTTGGAGTCTCACTCTGTCGCCCAGACTGGAGTGCAGTGGCCGCTCCCGGCCACCGCAGCCTCGACCTGCTGGGCTCCGGCGATCCTTCCGCCTCAGCCTTCCGAGGAGCTGGAACTACAGGTGCGCGCTACCATGCCTGGCTCATTTTTGATTTATTG